CAAAAAACTGCATTTCAATAATATTTTACAAGTCATGACTTGCTAATTTCACTCATGAGCTAACACTTTAAACTACCTTAGTTTACAGAATTCAGAGTCTGAGTAATAATTCAAACACTGTTGGACACACAAACTTGTAGCTATTATCTTCCACTCTTTCTCACATCTATTTTCAGTAGGACAGATTTGTGGTGTTCTTTAGTGTTAACACTTTTCCCAGTAGGCAGCACCCTAAGGCATGCTAGAAACCTAATTATACAGATCCTACACAGATAAAACTCCAGTTCTGTATTTTGAGTATTCATTCTCTGTCAACCACAGTGAAAGTCCTAATTGACTATTAATGCCATGAGTAAACTATGAACCAACCCAAACAATTCCCACTACAAGTTCGATGTAAACAGTTGCCATTCTATTCATCACAACCAACAGGCACACTACCCATGAACAGAACGTTTTGTCATAGTACATACTTTCAAAATAACACTGTAACAACCCCTCTAGGCCATGTGAAACACACTGCAGTGGATTTTTTGTGAATGTGGGGCACCTGGAGCAACAAGAGAATTCAAAACCAGCTTCTGGATACTCAAGAGTCTTCGAAAAACGGTCTCCTGAGCCTAGGGTTGCCACCCTACCCCCATTAAGATAGATGAGATGCTACATAAAAACAGATGCTACCTCAGCCATGTTAGTACAAGACAGGAAAATTACTCAGCTGTGATATTTTGGTTTGTAATTTGCCATTACTCTGTGCTTTCCAAGTTCTATTTGCACCGCATTTTCCCCTGAGACTGCATCTTAAAATGAAAGTATCTAATATTTGAGCTTATATCTATTTTCTTACTGTGGAAGTTTCTTGTCTAAGGATGGTATATGAAGAACATTCACTAATACTGGCTTTGCTAATTGTCTTCGCTTGCCCCTGTTGGTTGTAATTACTGCAACAACATGTTTTTTGCAGAGATACGTACAATATAGGTGAATAAATAATGCTGTATCTTGGAACTTCTTTTAACTCTTGTCCTACCGCCCTATGTTGAAGCAGTTCAATATGCAAGGAGATGTTCTCACATTGAATATAACACAGAAAATAACGAACTGGGAAATAAAAATTCAGTGTAGAAGCATAATAAAGACACAAGTAACCAATTTCTTCCAAGAAAAAGACTCATGCCTTGGTTTCCATGAACACAGATAAAAAGGGTAAACCCAGTTTTGGGGGATTATATTAGCTAATTCCTTGTGAAAGGGTCAGATGCAAAGGGCTAGAATGAGCTCTGCTTTATCAGGCTTACTGCCAGACTGCCTTAGAGCAGACTGCTAGGAAAGGTAAGGACAACAACAGGAACAGGGAGGGTGACATACAGCAAAAATGGCTAGCCTGAAAGTGCTGTGATGAGATGGTGCGGATGTATACGTATCAAACCATCTGGTTGAGTACAGCTAAGTGACCTGAAAAAAATCTAGGCGTGCCTCTACAGTTAGATTTCCTGAAAACTGACAAGATACTACATCTAGTTCTTTTAACTTGTCTGCTTTATAGGCCCATGCAACAATATGATGACCAAGATTAGGACAGTAGACTACGTAAACCTGAAAAGTTACTGACACCAACAAAAGAACTAAACCTATCCACTCTCTGCACAGAAAAATGCATAATAAGGAATTAAAATGTAATTTATTATGTATAAATGCATTAAACTCTACGCAAAAAAATACATTTCTTACTATCCTTTTATATTTTATTATTTTTGAAGCAAATTCTTTTTTAATTAAAAAAAGGTGATAACATGGTCCCAATTACTTATTTATAAGCATTTGTAGAGAAAACATATATGCAAAAAGCAATACTTTAATTTGTAGCAGACCTGCATGAGAAACATTATTCTGTCCCAGGAGAATTAGATAATTTTCTTTGTGCTGGAAATAAACAAATAATAGTGTCTTAAAGCACTTTAAAATTATTTTTTTACTTTGACCTTTGCAATATTTTTTGTATAATTTAGTAAATATTTACATCATTTTCAGCCAAATAATTTCTCTAAATATAATTGTTATTATGTCAACTACTTTCTAAACTTAATATAAATTCTAATTGAGGGAGACAAGAGTCAGCACTTTTCCAAACATCTGTTTTGACAAATTAACACTTTCTAACAGAAAAAAGGCTTCATCAGAGTTACACATCAATTGTAATTTGCAGAACAACTGAACTTTTACTGCTTAGTGCTGTTAGTTCAATTGCATCAATACTGCTTTCAGACTGAGAAACTAAATTCTTATATCTCATTCATCCGTGTATATAATGAAAACTCAGCTTTAAGAGCAATCTTTCACAATCCCCTTAAGACAAAAACTCATACAGGTCTTTCCTGAGTGAAGAATTTGGCCTACAGAATCCATTTCTGTTGCTGATGTGTGCAAGGAAAAATCACAGACTCCTATCAGACCCTCAGTGGAATTTATAGCACTGCTATTCAGGAAAATGTTGTTTTCCTCCTGTAAATTGAGTAAGTTTTATTTGGAGTCATGGAGAAACAGAAGCAAGGCACTGCACGAAGTCAATTTTACAACCATTTTTCAGAAAGATACTCTATCCGTACCATTATGAATCCATTGCAGTCCCTCATAATTAAGGCAGAAGACAAACTAACTTTTCAGCCTTATTTCCAACATTACCAAAAATTGTTTTATAGCTGAACATTTCTAAGAGTTGGAGATGTTTGTTAAAGAAGATTTAAGTAGTTCTTATAAGCTGTTAATGAAATATGCAAGCCGAATCCTGTGAATTCCAAAAATGTGCAATTAACTCTTACAAAAATCCCCAAAGCAGGTTTTTAAACTGTTTTCAACAGGTTACTACTTTGGTTATTGTGAGTTATCAGATGTATGAGAAAGATTTGCCAGAAAGAAATTTGAAAGATGATTTCTTCTCCCGTCAAAACATAAACTAAATCTAAAAAGCTCATGGTAAACTGGTCCCTGTAGCTATTCAGAATTTTTTTTTACTGTCTAGTTTCCTTGCATGAACTTTTTGGTTCATTCCTTAACTTGCCTGCAAAGATCTTTGCCATTTCCCTTCTATTTTTATTTTTTCTCTTCCATTCTTCTTTTCTTTGCCCATCTTGTGACTGCAATACCTCCTGACATCTTGTAGCATGTAGAAGGAAGATCAGTAACTATAGATACAAATGTCAGTATGGAAAATGTTCACATGCAGGAGTTTTTAATTTTTAAATCGCTTAATATTTTCTTTAAGATATGCTTACTTTGATTAGCTCTATGCATATTTCAACACAGATTATTTTTAAAACATTCTCAATAGCTGTTATTATTTTGGTGCCAGACAGCCTTCTATTATGCGTAAATTCAAATTAAGTTACTGAAAATGAAATTGCTAAATGATGTGGGCACTGTGAGTTGCCCAATAGGTATGAGCACTGTGAAGTATCTGGCAGACATTACAGAGCTGGTGGAAGGCTCAGCAAATATAACCACCGTGAAGCGCTCTGCAGACATTAAAAGCACTGTCAAGCTACTGGCAGTCCTTACAAACCTTGTCAAGTGTTCTGTGAACATTACAAATAGCACTGAGAACTAGATGGGCATTATAAATTCTGTATCAGAGGTACGGTAAGAAGTCCTATTAGGAAGTAAAGTATGAAATTCTGAGAAATTGCTTTCATTTCCTCTGTAAAATTCATAGGCAACGTGGAAATACCAATTAACAGCCCTTAATCAATTCTTCTGACTATTCCAGCATTTTCAGCAGAAGGACTTTTTCTGCTCAGAAATGGATCTCTGTGGAGATGCCCATGCTGGGTCTCTATAAAATGGCAGTTTGATATTTGAGAAGTATTGCTGATTTTCAAATGTTCAGTGATACAGGCTACTGAAAACTCCTCTGCCTTTTGCTCACAAGCGCTCATTCTTTATTTGCCTCCAGCCAGGTATCTGTGTTTCCTTAACAATTCAGCTGATAGACCATCTATAGCTGGTATTCACATCCTTTCACATCTCTCCCAACTTATAAACATCTGTATTTGCTGTTAAAACCAAATTTTTTGTTATTACTCCAGTCAACTCTGATCTCCCTTCCGCTATAAACGTGTAGCAACGCACATAATTCCTCTTGTGGTTATTAAGACAAAAGTGACGTTCCTTTTGTCTCCCTAAGACATTAGCAAAGTCACCATCCCAACAATTTTCTGTCACTCAAGAAAGTCAAAGATTCAAAGATTCTGTGAATAATCAAGTATATGTGCAATTATACTTCTGACCCACCAGCATCATCTTAGGCAATGATTTTTTTCTCTGCGGTATTATGTGATAGTTTTAAAATCTCTGGTTTAGACTGTTCTTTGCTAGAAAGTGTTCAGTGTGAGACAAATTTTCTTTATTAATTAATATTCTTTTGTTTCCTTCCTCAAACCATATCCATCGTGTCTGCTATGGTGGAAAATCTTTCCCAAAAAGCGATTCACTTATAGATCTTCAAATACAGAATGCACCTGAGTGAAGCTCACTGTAAAAATTCTGTTCGTTTCTGGGACGCAGTGCTAGAATGTACTGTTATAGGTTTATAAAAATGAAAAATACAAGAATGAAATCTGACATTTATGCCACACTGTCAGAGATATAACTTGAAAGGAACCTTCTATAAACTGTAGGAATCCTCAGTTTCATGCAGTATACAATGTAGAGCTAGTATCATGGGTTAATGTTTTAAATCATAATTATGTGTTTCCTAGTACATAGACAGGACAGTGGTGTTCTGTAAAATACATATATATATATAAAATTTTGTATGAAATAAGGAACTTGTATTTTTTCCATTCTCTTTCAATCTCAGCTGTATTTTCAGTGCCATACACCTGAATTTCTTGTGCCTATAAGCAAGTCAGATTCATTACTCTTTTTTTGCCATCATTTCTGGGTTTTAATATTTCCTCTGGATTCCACTTCAATTTATGACATTAAATAAGAGTACAGCTCACCACATGTCAGCTGGTTGTCCTTCAGGTTACGAAATGACAGTCCTTGTAAAGCACTGGGGTAAGCACAAACAGTTTCCTCTGCTATTCGAACTGAAGCATTTCTGGCCCATTGCAAGACCCATTTTAGATTACAGTCACAAATGAGCGAGTCTGTGTTGAAATGTCTAGAAAGGCAAAGAAAGATCACAATTGGTACACAGGCAATTTTCATAAACATACTTTCTTCTGTTAGATTCAAATTATCTAACTCCAAAGAGAACTAATTTAGATAGATGCATGGATATGGATGTATAATTATAGACATACAATTATAAAGATACCCTGAGACAAATAACACACATTGTCCCACTGTTAATGACTTCAAAATCATTCTTCCAAAATTCTGATTTTGGTTACAGAACAGCATCACTGACTACTGAATTAAATTTGAGTATGTGCTACTGTAGAAAGTCATACTATAACATACTTTCACTTACTAAAAACTCTTTTAAGTAGAAACTTGACCATGGAAGCATATAGTATACACTTTTAAATCTCAGAGGGATACGTTTAATATAAATAATTGGGAATTGTTATTATAATTGCAGGAAAAATATTTAACACGAATGTATGAGTAATTAGAGTTATCACATGATGTAATACATGAAAATGGCAAGGTATAAGATCATAAAGGAGAAAAAACCCAGGGATGCTAGTCAGGATGGTTAGACTGGGCTAGTCAGGAATCCAGTCAAGTTGTCAGCGTTATCCATTTCACTGGGATGCATAGAAGATGGCAGTCCATCAATAGTGAGACAGACATTGATACAAAATACTGCATAATTTACATTTGGAATGCATTGCTAGAAACAATCCTGTTTGAATTCACATTCAACTCTACTATGTTTATTCCATTGTCCTTCTTCAACATTTCAGATTTCCAAACATACAGAATGATACTTACAGTGCTTTCAGAGCTAGCAGCTCAGAAAAAAGTCCATTCATAAGACTTGAAAAAATATTCCCTGACAAATTCCTAGAAAAAAGCAATTTACAGTCAGTTATAAGAAATACAAGAAAAAAAAAAAATTGTTAAAGAGTGTGATTTTTCCCAATGCTAATTCAGAAATTCTGCTTTCTTAACAACAGTAAAAACATATTTAAATTTGTACATTGCTTTTTTGTAAATGACAGCAATATTCAAATCAAATCATACACTTTTACATTTATTTTCACAGAAGGTATACATACAATTAACTTGGTCTAATAAACAGGAATATTTCTACATATTTAATAGAACAGAATCTAAAAGAATATTCTAGAATTTAAGTGAAAATATTCATACAGTCAGTAGTCAGTGAGGGAGATCTATGTCGTATTTTCATAGTGTATGTAGAATGCCACTTCAAGGTAAAGAAATAAAAACAGTGTCTTAATTTAGTAATGCTCAGGAGAATTCAAGCACTTCTATAAAACGGTAATGAGTTTTCAAAGTAAATACACAAATAGTTTTATTACTAAGGACTTTAAAGGAACTGATTTTTCCTGTCCTTAAATTAAGGCCATTTCCATTTTAACTACTGTTTTACTATTTCTTGCCTCGATGGCTGAATGGATTAGGCCGAATACTTGCAAACAGAAGCAATTTAATTTTCCCTAGTTTAACAGTATTGCTCTGCCAGTGCCTTCATAGTATAAAAGGTAAATGCTTAATGTCAAGTAATACTGTCTTTTTATGTACCAGTAGACTGAAAAATTAGTGCCGTATCCAAGACGAACATTTCATAGCACATGAATTATCTGCTTCTGAAATACTGATATATGTTCCTGCCTATCAAGTGCCTGAAGTGTACACATCTGAATTCAAAGACAGCTACAAAATTTCAGTTATCAGTGAAATTTCAGATCTCTTCACTAGAGATTTGTTGTTAGGTATAGAAAAAAATGTAGACAGGCAAAGAAAATGGTTTTATTACTTTTTCATTAAAAGTAATGTTTTATAATTACTTATCCTACATCTACAAAGTAAAGAATGTGTACTAAACTGAAGATACAAATTCAGATCAGGACCATCAGTGAGAAATCTACCTAACTGCAAAAGATCTGAACCAGCTTCATAACGTAAGGAAAAAGAAAAAAAATCAAGAGCCATGCTTTTTATAGAAACCTTTACAGATACGTATGGATCAATGAATTCAAGAAAGAAGAGAAAATATTGCTAATTTACAAATTACTTTAAGAAAGTTATGAAGCATTCTTGAAACAACAATTAATCTTATTTTTGTACACGATTTTTCACCACTGAAATAATGACAAAGACAAATAAAATTAACTTTAAACACTTCAAATATTCATGGCACTTTAAAGCAAAATTCTACTAAAGCAGAAAAATATTTTAAGTAAAATTATCTCTCATTATAATAAGTGATGACGAGATGTGTTGATATACTTGAACTCATTGTTAAGATTTTATTTAACAGGGCACCTTTGGTGCAGTGGTGGTACAAAGCTCTTGGAAACAGAAGGGCTTTCAAGTATCTCTTCAAGTATGGTTATATCTAAAGGTGGAAATGGCTGTTGGCTATACCTATTTCTATACCTTTAATATTTTGGAACCAAAAATATTGAACATTTCATAAAGGCTCGGTTACCTCTTAAAACTAAATGGATCTACTTATGTGCTTATTGGACATAAGCCCTGACAAGGCATATGCTGAAACAGCTCAGTGAACCAGGACATTAAACAGACTAAATCAGAAACTGATAACCCTGACATTTACACTAAAGTAAATCAGAAGTTGTTCCACTAATATGAAAGCAGTTACAGTAGTATAAACTTACTGACAGAAGACAATCATGCTGAACTGAAGGACAGGGAAAGCAATCTGCCTAGCCTTGCATGGATGGCAGCCTGAAGGCAGAAATACAGGGGTTTTCCTTCCTCTGCCTTACCCCACTGCAGTATGAAAACATTTCCCATTCAATGCAAACCCCAGCTTTTCTCTTAAACAGTTAGCCAGGCTTCATACAGCAAACCAAACAGAACACCAAGTCTGTGTTTGGCAATTTCATTTGGACCAAAGGAAGGCTTTATGTCTGGTCAATATTTTAAGAAACAGAAAAACTGTAAGCCATTTCTACAGCTGATGAAGCAGGGTTCAGGAGATGTATGGTAGCTATGCACCTGCCAGTGGTGCCCTTTCTGTGTCTACTGAATCTATGCACTTTCCATAGGGCCTACCAAATCCACCAAGGTATCTAGCCAGAAGTGACCTACGCTGTGTTAACCTAAAAATTCCTGACTCGCATCCCATTTACAGATTTTTGGTTTATCGTGACAGACAAGTATGTAACCTTTTTCTTCAGTGGTTTTGCCAAGTGCTGGAATAATTGAGTTCCTGACAGGTCAAAAGTCAGCACAAAGCCAGCAATTCAATTTTTCATATTCTTTCATATCCTTCTGGCAATGACCTGGTTTGAAGTTTCCATACAACTGATAATTAGCAAACTAGAATCATGTTCAGAGGGCCGTATAAGTTGTAAACAAATACATTTCTATGCCAACGAAACACATCGCTACAATATCTGGATATCTAACAGTGGGAATAGCTGCTTCTTCTTCCCTAAAAAAACTTTTAGAAATATTCTCAAATCATCCCAATAACACATGCATTTCTGAGGTAGATATCTGCAGCACCCTGCAAATGCCTGGTTCTGTCAGTTCACATTATTTGTTATATATTAAAATACCTCTAAATGCATAGTGTTGTAAAATTCTGCTATTTCAGATATCCTAAAAACCCACTCTAGCTCGATATAAATCAACATTTGTTCTAAAAACATCTGTATCACCTAGTTTGCAAATATTTCAAATATAACAAATTAACACACTCCAAAGCTGATACCACTTCCTATGCCATTAGCTTACTCCATTACAGAGACGTGCTTTTTTTTGTTGTACCAGAGGCAAACATTTTAGTCTTACATATAAGGTCCTACACTTATAATTTTCATATACTGAATACTCTGGTGGTTTCACAGAAAATAATAAACACTTTTGCCAAAAGCTTTAATATAAATTACACCATAAAAGAGTCAAAGGGAGTTATGTGTCTCAAAGGATCATTTTGAGGCAAAATATAGGTAGAATCAAGAGTATATGAACATGAAGAATGCTTCACTGTTATGAGCGGTATTAAAAAGTCAAAGCTGAATGCAAGGGTGACAGATTGTTCTTCTGTGCAAAAAGACTGGGATAGGATGGGTAAAAAACGAGAACAGAAATACAGAGAGGGCATGTTACGGTGCTTATTTTCTTGATGTTGGGTCTCTTTGATTCACTGTGTTACTGATTTTGTACTTTATTTCTTGTACCATACAAAGTGATTAGTTGCTTCAATGACAGCAAGAAAGTCATACATGAATTTATGGTATAATAATATCATAAAGCTAACTGCTGATGATGATTCAGAGGTAGGATGAAGAATAAATCAGATATACTTTAATCAGACAATTGGAAATAAGGAAGTAAAGCCAAACAGTAAGTTCTGTTTCAAACTTCCAAAAGGAAGATCCAGCAGTAGCGGCTTGTTGAAACCAATTTAAAGCTACAACATTTCAGAACCTGAAGAGCTAACTTAAGGGGCACTAAAGAAACGAAATCATGTGTATCAGTCCAGTGGCACCATCCCAGTATTCTACAGCTCTTGACATTTAGTTTAAATATAAATTTATTATTAATGTGGATGGCAGCTCCATTACTTAGCAGAAATATATTTGCATACATAATTCTGGAACAAAGCACTGAAACATGGCCACTGAGGGGGCAAAGGAGATTTGGAAGATTTGTTGCATTCAATTATGTCACTCATAGTTAGAATACATACACCTCATCACAGCATAAACACAGCCAAAGGGTAATATATAAGCCAAAAAAGTTAAACTAATATCTTAGAAGACATAATAAATCTTCTCTCATACTGTCTGAGGCACTGTCAGCTGCATCTGTCATATGATGTGAAAGCATTTTGGAATCATTTTCCACAGTACAAATCATCAAATCCAAGAAGGTGTAAAAATTATATCAGTCTTGAGGAACATAATCACAACTCACTGGCTGCAGTAATTTCAGGAGATGTGTGAAATTTTAGATTTCATTACTAACCCGAAATTTAATTCCTATTCACCAAAATACACATCCTGACTGAAATCAGAGTAAAAGTCTTCTTTTCTACATTATCAAGAAGCTCACAATTTTTTGTGGTTTCTGTATGCGTGCAAGCTTTCAAAACAATACTAGATGATACTACTAATTAATTTTTTCATAATTCAAGAATCCTGTAAGTTGGCCTGTTCTAAAATAGACTGCACAAAAGCACCAAGCCTTCTGAAGAGCGTTTGCACTATCCCTGAAAGCTCAGGCAGTTCTCATCCTTCATTTTTGTGAAGAATTTAAATGTACCTTTACCATACTCAGTTTAGATATATGCATCACATCGTTTGGTTAAACATCATGTGTCAGTTTTGGCCTAGAGCTGATTTTTCAGCTCTATTTCCATTTTTTCAAAGTGAATTAGACTTACAAGATTGAGTGAGCCACACTGTTACTTTGTTTCACCTGATATTTGTGCTTCTAAACAGTATAACAAAATATCTCTGTACTTCACAGAGAAGATTTATGTCCTTTGCTCCCTCCAGTGGACTCACGGCTCTCCCTACTGGTTTTGATAACAGCCTGCAGAGATCCTTCTGTACTCTGCTAAGGTAACCCAGGAAAGCTCTAAATTACCACAAACAGCAACTGCATAAATCCATGCATATGTATACATCTTTATATTGCTCCTTCAGTAATCTATACCACACTTGATGGCTCTGAAACCAGTTTCATGTTTAAGAACTTGTCATCTTTTCTTTGGTACAATTATACACACTGATGTTACACTAAGTAAATGCTTCTCCACAACCTTTTCAGAGAATAGCTTTCTCATACGCCTGAAATGACAAGGGAAAAAAATTCAGAGGTATCAGTAGCAATGGAAAGGTGACTTGTATTTTAAACGTTTAAAAATTTGATTCTGGGAAGTTTGTATGAACTTAAAGGGGAAGAAAGCTAGAAAGTGTTAGAGAAGGACCAGGGGCAGTAGCTTGCAGTCAATGAACAATCACCTGTTCTTACCAGAGGCAAACTGAGATCCCAGCTCAAATAATTACTATCAGCATTATGTTATTATATGAGATTTCTGAGATCAAGGAACAAGTAATACTATAAACAGCAGGGCACAGTTCCTCTTGACTGAGACCGTGGTTGCATTTCTTCACAAAATAATCACTGACCCAACAAGAGTAACAGTATTCCTGACATTGGTTTGGTAAGGACAACAGTCCTTACCAAAGAAAAAGTTGCAACTTTTGATTTACTTCACATGAAAAGGTAATTTGGACTTATCTATTACTATGCCTCTGAATTCCAAAGGACAGACTTTTGAAATAAAAAAAAATAATAAAGTAACTAGTGAAGAACTACTAAAGTACATGAACTGGAATGCAGGATGGCCCCATTTGTTAAGTCAATGATAGAAAGGCAATTTAAAACCCAAAAAAGAACAATGGAAGATAGACTAAATGGATCAATGACCAAATCTTAGATCTTGAGAAAAGAATTCAAGTTTTAAAAAGATCAAAGAAGTAGAGAGACTATAATGAACAGGAAAAGGTCAGCAAAATGACAGGAAGCATAGAGGGACAATGAGAATTATCAAAAATTAAGTTAAACTTTGGAAAGTATACTAAAACAAGGTGCAAAAGACATTTTAACAATTCTACCATATTATAAATAAGAAATTAAGAAAGACTATATATACAATTACTACTGTTTTCTATTCTGTTCAGCAAGGTTGGTAATTTTGATTACAGGTATTTATGGAAGAGGCATACACTAAATTCTTGAAATAATCTTTCTTAAGACCACTTACAGTATGACTACTGATCTGTAGAACTAGTTAAAATCCCTGGGCAACTAGAGGCCTTCTAGGCTAATTCCACTCACAAGTAAACACTAGTATAAATGTTAATGGGTTTCTCCTGTTTATGTAGTATCATGTTAGATGTATATGAACATCAATAAATGATTTTCGTTGTCTAGAAAATTAGTGATCTTTTTATATGATTACATGATACATCTTCAATAGATGCCTATTGATTTTTTTTCCCATTTTTCGTTTGCCAACATTTTTTTCCCTTTTTTTTTTTTTTCTTTCAAAACTCATTCGGTTACTGCATCAAATACAATGAGGCCAGACTAACAGGTATACAGTTACCAGAATCATCGTTTTTTCCACTGACGCATGGACATAACATCCATAAAAGTGTGAAGAACCTGGCATTAAGTGCATTTATTGTAAGACACTGTAAGACAAGATAATGGACAGGACAGAAGGGAGGGGAGTGAGACATCACTGTTCTGCAGAAATGGCCTTGAGACTGATTGTATTTACTGCCTTCACTAATGACTCTGGCTCAGAAATGTAAGCATGTGAAAACGAAATCTGGTAATAAAACAAAGGATTGGTCAATATTAAGAGAACTATCACACAAGAAGAGATGAATGTTCTTGAACATGTGTCTAGTAAATTCATTAAATAATATTATTCAAAGTGTAACAAGAATGTCACTTGAGAATTATACCTAAGAAAGGTCTAATTCAAATTTCTGCTGTAAACTGGGGCCTCAGAAATAAAACAATACAGAAAAGTCTTGGATCTACACACACTTGGAAATGAAAGTTAGCCCCATCTTGAGGAGAATGTAAATATTTACTTAGCACACACAAAAAGGCAGGATGCAAGAAGATATGGCGTTAATGATAGCTTAGATGCAACCAGTGAGACTTTCTCTGGATCTACATGCCAAAAAAGATTCACCAACACTGGGACAGGTACACAGAATGAGCATAGATATGGCAAATCTATTTCACAAAAGGAAATTGTAATGGCGTGGTTTGATCAGCCTGGAAACTACAGGCGTTCAACATGCATATTGTGCCTTTTTCTGACATCTCTGG